CGATTCAGAGAAGAAGAAAAAACGTGACCTCCGCTCTCTGAGGTGCTTAAGAGCTATTATTAGACTTGTCACAAATTACAAGCTAGGTTACCACAAATTAGACAGACGGAAGAAAAAACCTTCATCTTAGCTGGAGACGCTGAGATATGTTTTACATTACAATCACGAAGCATAATTAATTCATGTTCCTCTTTCTGAGGAGACTCGTGACAGCCGAGTTTAAATCTAAGTGAAACTAACAGTACAGCCTGTCGTTTAGAATAAAGTCAACACAGACAAATAATCCAGAGTCACAACCCTCCTTGAATAAGGAAGTAGATATATGAACAAATTAAAGAATAAGAAAATGAAACCAAAACAGCCCATTATTTTATGTTTCGCTATTGATGGAGGTCTGAAAATTGTGGAAAAAGTACAATTTGCATCAACCGAGCAAAAGAGCTAAATATCATGAGCTAAAAGGACGTTTTGGAATCCCAGGGCGACAGCAGACCACAGCAATAGCAAAGAGTGTCTAAGGTGCCGTGACTTGGAGTCTGGCAGACTGGTGCGGAGGATTAGTGCCGTGGGAGTGAGCAGTTATGCCAGAGTCAGTGCCTGTCTGTGCATGAGCCTGCGAGTCTCATCGCTTTCCTGCGTGGGCATATGAATGTGTGTGTGTGACTGTCTATGTATGTATATGTGTGACCATGTGTGGGTTTTAGTCTGTATATATTTTATAATCTGCAGGGACGTGGCTGGAAATTTAAGGCCTCTGACAAAATGTCAACTCGGACACCCCCGCTTGGGTTGGCACTTCAGAATCTGAATTAATACGGCTCCCCCTCCCCCTTGGTAGATTTTGTCAATCGGGAGGGCCCCCCCCCGACGCTACATTTTGGGCCCCCTGAATCTGCCCCTGCCTATCGGTCCATGTTTGTATTTCTGTGCCCATTTTTGCATGCATTTACATACATACATGCCTGTATCTGCAGGTCTCTGCGTATGTGTGTGTGCTTGTGTTGACTTGTGGTGCTCCACTCTCTCCCCAATGCAGCCGTTGCTATTCCACACTTCCTCTCCACGCTTCCTGTAAGGAAATGATCGACTTCCTCCATCTGGGACGCTGTTTTTCCCTGCAGAGCCACCTTCGCCTCTGGGTCCCGGCGACACTCCAGACTTGTTTGGGGCGGAAGGCGACAAGCGTGATTGTCTTTGCCTGTCTGTCACAGTCCCTCTCTGAGGGTCAACGCACAAACACATACATGTATGTGGACATTCGAACCCCTTTCTCAATGTGCAATTTACTGTTTATTTATTTATCAGATGCTTTTTGCCAAAGTGCCGTGCAATTGAGGTCATACAGATTCTAGAGCATTTGGGGGTTAAGGGTCTCGATCAACGGTCCATTGATAAAATCAGCCAACTCTCGGATTTGAACCAGTCCGATCACAGGCACAGAGTCCTTACACGCTGAGTCCATACATGCAGAGTCCTTACCCACAGAGTCCTTACCCGTACAGTCCTTACCCGCAGAAGGGTTGCATGGCTGCCCCAGTGAAACAGTATTTGTGTATCTGATTTTCTAATTCACGCACTGCAAACGGATCGTCGGATTGGTTCCTCACTGATCACCATAGTAACAAACAGCCACCGCTGGAGCCCCAACACCGTGACACTAATGTTTACTTGACCCAGTCGGCTTTTGCCAGCTTCCGTCACTGACACCTACCTAGGATTCCACACAAGGGACATGGAACCCTAAGAGCACCGCGGCTCATGTTTCTCCCCACAACGGCCTGGGAAGCTTCCCGTAACGACTGACTGCAACAACTGGCTCCCACAGCACACCTTCCTGACCGTCTCGTTGACCCCGCAGTACAAAATGGGCGTGAACTTTAACTCGGGGGGGTCAGCCAAAGCTTCCCAGTCTGACAGGAATGTGTTAGCGACACCATGCCTTTATAGTACACCCTAAACCGCAGCCCAGCTGTGCATGCGCTGGCTAAAAGGTGCTCGACTGACAGCGATCTCGCATGTTTGCCTGCGAAAGGACCTCTGCACTAAAGTTCCCATTTATCAGATTACGGCAAAACCTAATAACTGCTGGACGGGGTACAGAGCAGCGCTTAATCAGATCTGGTGAGCCGTGCAAGAAAACGCTCGGCTACATGGGATACGTGAGAAGAGTTAAATCATGGCTTTAAAATATCACACAGGAACAAGCCTAGAAAACAGGAAAAGGCAGATGTGGGTAGGGTAAAGAGAGAATCAAGTTATAGTAGGGGACATATTTTATTTACATTTTTTAATGTTTATCACACAGGGCATGACAAGCAGTCTGTAAATAAGACAGGAAGTTGGAGATGTGACAGCCTGAATCCTACACAATGTCACAGCTTGGAGCATATTAGAAGGGTACGAGGTCGCTAATGTCACGGGGGTCACTGAGGTCTTGCAGTTCGCTGTCCTTCCCCTTAGGGGGAGTCACTGGCCTCATAGCAGCCATTGTGTGAGAGGGCCTTCCCTGGACAACAGACATCTAGAAGAATCGTTGGCTTCCTGTTACAGCATCACCAGCGTGAGGAAATTTGTGAGGTCATAAGGAAGTCAGTCTCATGTCAAGGAGAGAATAGCCTGGGAGATCTCTCGCAAACATCTCCCTGACATCTCTCCCCGTTAACCCCTCACCCCTCATATCGCACAGGGGGCTCATTCACTGACCACATTCCTGTCCCTAACCAGAGCTTAAACAGACAACTAGAGAACAAGACAGGAAGAGCCTAACAAGAATTTCTGGTGGAATATTCTAGTCAAACCCGCAACAGAGTTAAACTAGTAGCTATGTCTGTGCATCCTCTACTGAGTCATGTAAACCAGTTGAGCAAACAGTTGATATGATGAGGAAGACACTCTACACCACAGGAGTTGGGGCATGAAAGAGGAAGTGAGCCATGCAACACAGGCCACGGGAATGATGAAAGAGACCCATCAGCAGATAACAGAAGAGCCGAGAAACAAAGTAACACACTATGCAATTCAGGGGAGCAGGAATGCAGAGAGAAAATGACTCACCAGGCTATAAAAATGTGCCAATTTTGCCCAGAGACAGATCTTTGGGCAATTAGCTTTAAACCACAGCTTTAAAAGCAAATGGCTAAGATTTAACAACCAGAGGCTTGAAAAGAAATTAAATAAAAAAATAGCTATGTGTATGTATAACTAGTAAAAAGAAAACAAGTTTAATGAGATGGCAGGATGCATTGAAGCCCCAAAATAAGGCCCAGTGAGGGCCTGGCACATCCCCCCCCCCACCCCACCCCCAGACAGAAGGCCTCATGCTGTACGGGAGAAAAACAGGGGGCGCATGCAAGACAGAGGTGCTCTCAGGACAAAACAGAAAAACATTCCCTATAAGCAAAAAACAGTCCTAAGAGGGCGAGAGCGTTTTTGCAAATGCCAGTGGTAGGGTTGGGGTTAGGGTTGGGTTTAGGGACAGACAGCGGTACGAGGGGGCTAACAAACCCACCTGTCCATTTTCCAACACCAAATTATGGTTACAGTGACTAACAGATTCTCTTCCCCATTTTAAAGGTCTTTCTATTAGATTGATAATTTTCTTAGTGGAGAGCAAATGTCTAAGACTCAGTTCATTTTTTTGTTGTTTTTGAGGTGAGGACGCCGGGACCTAAAGTCAGGCTTCCTCATCATATGTTACAGTGCAGGGAACCAAAACTCACTCAGGCCTCATGTAATCCAACAAAGAATGAGGTGTTAAATCTCCAAAACTCACTACAAAAATTTTCTCGAAAACGCATCTCATGGACTGAGTGACTTTTGGAATTTGCATGCTAACACTTTACTTGACGGGGCACAAATAATATAGAATTATGCAATTATTCATATATTAATTAACCTCAAACTAAGTCTTAGTTACATACTGATCTCATGTTCATTCATCATTAATGAATCGTGATGCATGTTTTATCTCAAGCAGTTACTATATTGTTACTATATTTGTTAATTCTGTAAACCTTTGTAAAATACTGAAGGAACAAGTCATGAATAACACAAAATACTGCTCATGTTTGTTCACCATTAATGAATTGATGCATCTTAAGTAGACTGTATTTGTTCATGATTTGTTCATGATATATACTTCAGTAGTAACTGAGTAATCACTCAGACAGAGCCATTGTCTGTCACCTGCTGCTGGAGGTTCTCTCCTCAGATCAGCTCTTCACGAACGCTGACAGACATCATGATTACGTATCTGCCAGGTGTTCCATGTGGGCTGGCTGGTGTATATGTGTGTGTGTGTGTGTGTGTGTGTGTGGGTGTGTGTGTGTGTGTGTGTGTGTGCGTGTCTTTGTAATCATAGAGGGGCTGACAGCTGTGTGGTTACCTGAGGCTGCACTATGTAACCCCTGAATGGCCTCATCAAAGGCAGAGCACACAGATGCAGGGAAGACATAACTGATGCAGAAAACCCTCTCTCTGCTTCTTCCTCTGAAGCCTGGGAGCCCGAGCATGAGCAAACACGCGAGGTGCTGCTGTCCAAGTTCAGAAAAACTCCATACGTTTCACAGTCAACAACTACATCAGGTATCAAAATAGCAATCACAGCTTCTCATTCTGTAAATCCTTCTAAATTAAAAAGAGCCTTTGTGTTATATCTCACAGGATTCAAATAAATCACAATATAACTTTTAGATGTAAACAAAGCTAAAAACTGAGGCTTACCGTTACATCTCGTAAAATTTAGAAACATGCCAAATATTCCCGTTTTCATTTACTCTACTCATGCACCCCCTTGTGGTGAAAAAGGTGATCTACAACCATAACATTTCCAACTCTTAAAGGGAAGACAGAGATATACTTACTTCTGAGCTGTGATATATAATTACAGGGGCCCCCCAGACATTAGCTGCATGCCTAATGTGAACCAGAGAGCGGGATTCATTTACGAATTCACTTTCACACACACTCACACAGAAAGGGGGCAGTTTGATGAGACTTACGGGCAACTGGACATTGTTGTTGAGATGGTCGGGGACACCGGAGCTGAGAGGGGCGTCGGTGGCCTGTCCGTTCTGGTGGCAATCCAAGGACACCCGGTCACGGCAGTGCGTGTGGCAAGTGTACTTGCAGCCTGCAAAGGAGCAGGAGAGGAGATGAAAGTTTAGAGACGAAGTCAGATACCCCGCGAAGCACCAGAAGATCCCCTAAAGTCACCTTCTACTCACCAACAGGAGTGGAAATCACAGCGTGACTGAGACATAACCTTCACAGACAGACATGCTGTGGATGGATCCCCACATTTGTCTCCCTACCACGTGTCATTGTTTTTCTAACACATGCATTTTCAAAAAGTGAGTAATTCGCCAGAGGACAGTCTAGCTAAGCACCTTGCTCTAGGGCACAGCCACAGATAATGAGCAAAGCAGTTGGATCATCACTAAAAGGTCTCTGAACTACCATCAATCAAACTATCCATCAATCCATACGCCCATCTAACATAGTCAGGGTCTCAGGGTTCTGTACCAGGGTACAAGGCCGGGGTAAACCCTGGATGGGATGTCAGCGTTCTCAGTTTGTGAAAACTAATGAATTTTAATGAATGTGTAGAGATTCAGGGTCCAGCTATATATCTGTTAAGGGGAGACCGTAGACATGACTCAATTAATCTGTCAATCAGCCTGTCTGATGATCAGTCAAGCTTCATCCTTGGCCCCTTTCACAGCTTACAGCCACTCAGCATTTTAAACCACACTGCCAGGCTGAAGGCATCTATCCTAGGGTTCAAATTGCCAAGCCTGGCATCCAAGACGATTCATGGAACAGGAAAATCCCATAGCGCGGGGAAGCCTCCATGATGAATAAAGCTGATGTCACAACTTCAGGAGTCAAAGTCTGCAGACTCTTGCCAGCATATTTGCCTTCAAGTCATGTGACCCTGTTATTTAGAAATGATAGCAATGATATGCAAATATGCTACTACTGTAAATATGCAAATTTAAGCATGACTGACCAACCCTGAAATCCTTCATCTGGCTGCTGTTTTCATTATATTACATTGAAGAATAAAATAAAGTAATTAAATTAATTATTATGAACTGTTATCAACAAACAGTTTAACAAACTCTTAACATCCGTCCAGAATCATTCATAAACTAAGTGTGTAGCAATGGCAAAGAAAAAGATATCACTATAACGAGTAAATAAATAAGCTGCCTATCGAGGTTTATGAGGCCCAGACTGAACCACAAGCCGCAGAAAAAAGGGCAGCTGATTCTGAGAGATGCAATCTCTGTGACGTAAACGTACTGGTCCACTGATGACACGGAGTCAGGGGAAATCGTTTTTTTCCCCTCTCTCAGTTCTATTAATTGATTTTAAACTGTTTTTGTGTCAACAGTCCAGTTTCTCACCAGGACAACTTCAAACGGCAGCAAGACTTAGCACAGGGCTGCAGAGTTAGCCAAAGTTAGCACAAAGCTATATAAAAGCAGTGACAGCAGCACTAGCACCAGCCAGCGAAAGGCTACACAGCAGCAGCGGAGTTAGCATTAGGCAGCACAGGGCTACATGCCCTAATCACTGTCCACTAGAAGCAACAGAAAGCGTGAGCCCGATCAGGGGTGGAGGAACCATGGGGGACAGGGGGAACTTTGGAAATTTGGCTTCATTCATTGTCCCAAAAGACCTTTATATTTAAAATATTAAGTTGTGCCCCCCCCCCCCAACATCAAACTCCCTCTAACATCTATACCAACACTCCATGTTCGCCAACCGGTCCTAAAGATGACTACGCACTGTTCCACACCCCCCCCCCTTCCTTCGCAAAATGGTGCAGCTCACCTGAAGACTTCCTCTTGACCTGCCTGGTGATCTTGCCTGACAGTTTGCAGAGTGGCGTGCCCATGCCCAGAGCATCGCCCTCAGGTTGCCTCGCCTGGCCTGGCCACTCGGTGCTTCTTGTCGCGTCCGGTACCCACTGGCGGCTGACCACACCTCCCCGGCTCTGACCACGCCTCCCCGGCTCTGACCACGCCTCCCCGGCTCTGACCACGCCTCCCCGGCTCACGCACACGCTCATTGACAGCCAGATCACACTCCCAACACTATCCATCCCTTCCAGTCCATTGGTGGCTCGTTTCCACACCACCCCTCCTCGCTACCAGCTCCTCCTCTTGGCTCTGTTTTGCTGAGTGGGTCATTTGACTATCAAACCACAGGCTTTCCCCGGCTCCATAACGCGGTGGGGGGGGGGGGTTGCATGCTCCGTCTCGCCCCTGCTTACGCATCCGGCTCTTCTGTTTGAGTTCCATCAGCAGCTCAGATTTCTGAAGACAGATGATGGAAATCTAGGTTCTCAGTCTCGCTACAATGCCAGCACTGGGACATCGTGGGCCAGGCTGTCACAGCAACAGGGGTTCGGTCACCCGGTGTGTGTTGTGTATACACACACATGCAACCCACGTGTGATGATGCTTATTATTTAGCACCCATCTGTCATCCAGGGTTGCAGCGTTAGCCTGAAGCCTGTTCCAGGAAGCGCAGGGTGCAGGGAACACCCGAGATGGGACACACACACACACACGCTCACACGCTACAGGCAACTTCGAGTCACCATCATTTTAATTTTAAATGCATACACAAAAGCCAGTAGAGGACTCAAGGAAAATGCCTGCCTTTGTAACGCAGGAAAATTACGTGGTCTGGCTGGAAGAGATCCAAGAGGGCGACTGCGGACAGCCAAATATTTCCCAGTGTTCCTGACAGTTCCTGTATTGGGAAGCAGACATGAATCAATATGGGTATGGCCAGTAAGTCCTATAGGAGATATAGGAGCCATCTATTGAGGGCACCCCCCCTTGCAGGCAAAGCTTAACCAGCCAGCTTCCACTCTCTCAGACTGAGTATGGGTTTGGTGGTGGGGGCATCGGAGCTGGGGGGGACATCACCCTGCCAATAGCCATCAGACAAGAAATTTCAACAGAATTTGGTTGGTGACTTTAATAATGCTTCTGTATTTATTAACAATGACTTTTTCGCTCTTGGGACAACCAGAAGGTACGAGGCTTTTAAATATTTGAGGCAGGATACAAAAGTCTGTTTTAAAAATGCTTTAGAAAGGCCACACCTGCATTGATAAGCGTGTTAACGGGAATTCACCACAAAGACAGGAATTGAGATGCATATGTGTGTGTGTGTGTTGGGGGGGGGGTTTATATATATTTAAAAACCTGCTATTTTAACATAGTGGGGACCATTTTGGTCCTCACAAAGGGAAACCAACTTCATGAAACTTCATGACTGCAATCAAAAAGACGAAAGACGTATTTTGTTGGATTGCTTGTGGTTAAGGTTGGGGCTGGGTGGGGGTTAGGGTTAGGGTTAGGGTTAGGGTTAGGGTTAGGGTTATCGTCGCTGGCATCGTACGGTTTTCCCCCAAAGAAATGAATGTACGGTCCCTACAAAGATATTAATACAAATATGTGTGTGTGTGTGTGTGTGTGTCAGTGTCTTGCTCCTGCAGTAATTGCTCCAGTCTCCAGAGCCGACGGTAAGTGCTGTCTGCCGGAATCACAGGGAACATAATGAGGCCCTGGCCAGCCGGACATTACCAGCTCCGTCATCGATCGGGCGCCATGAAACCCCCCCAGTCAGAGAGCCTAACAGTGGTGAGCAGTGAGCCCCTTCGCTCCATCTTCCAGGACGTGTACCAGCAACCACCAGTAACGTGACCAGCGTCCTGTCTATCTGTGCTTGAATCAGTGGCAGCAAAACGACCTACACAGGTAGGGCACCAAAAACCAGAAATTAGCATTAAAGATCCCCCCATACCCCCCCTCCCCAGTCAAAGTAAACACAGCTGTCAGCTGCTGTGGCTCCCATGACCTCCAACTGACATGACACCCTCCATAAAACTGCAAACCTTAAAGCCAGCACAGCCTTTACACAAACTCTCCACTGGGGGGCGCCAGTGTATAAAAAGTAATTTCTCATCATTAAAAAGGCAAAAAATCATCGAAAGCTTATTGAAGCAAATCTGTCTTTCACGTCAGATGAAGTATCAGCAGTCCCACAGCCGAGATTACACCCAGGGTCGGTAGGTCAACGCCACAGGTGGGCTGGAAATGCTGCCTCACAGGGACGTTATCCTGCTAGTGCAATGGAGTCCGCAGTCTCCATTAACCTGACGGTCAAGAACATTCCGCTTTCACTGGACGAGAAACTAAGAATCTAATACACGGGTGTCAAACTGCAGTCCTGGGGGGCTGGAGCCCTGCACATTTTTGGGTTTCCCCTCATTTAACACACCTGATTCAGCTCCTTGTGCTAATTACCACACAGCTCTTGAGCTGAATCATTTGTGGTGGAACCGAGAAAAAACTAAGCTACACAGGGCTCCGGCCCCCCCAGGACTGCAGTTTGACACCCCTGATCTAAAACAAAAAACAAACCAATCTCCTCAAGCGACCGGTCAATAGGGGGCGGCGTGGTTGCAGTACTGAATGTCCTGGAAAGATATTCCTGTTGCACCATGAGCAAGACAGATAAACATCAGCAAAAATAAGAACACATTCTATAGCAATATGTTCTCCGGCAAGGTCCACCTGCCGGGCAGAAGGGGGTTAGCCTGGGATTCCCCCACGCCGTAGCTGGTCTGTGTGGAATCTGGAGCCCTGGTCTCAAAGCTGGCTTTGATTACACAGACCCTCCACGCAAACGTGAGAAGGGCCTCGTTCCCACCGGCAGAACAACAAAGAGGACCCAGGACCTCCCACCCCCCGCGAAAGCTACTCCACCACAACAGCTGGTCTTCACGTCCACACGACCCCCCTTCATAAGTCTACTTTGCTTTTAGCAATTACTCGTTAACCAGACCGTGTCTCCTTGTTTCAAAGAATCGCTCAGATGGGGGCTGTGACCTCCAAGGGCTTTCTGTCATTTCTGACCCTTCAAAGGACGTCCGGCATCAGCCTTTGTGAGAACCTGGACATGCGCGGGTTCTGGCCGCTATGGCTCCTCATGCGGCATCACAGCTGCCAATCATATGGCAATTAAGATACATTCGGGAAAACTGAAGGATTCTGGTCCTTGTGGAGCAGCGCTGAGTCTGAGGGCTTTGACTGAATGAGGCAAAAATGAACAAGATCATCATAAGAAAATGATGTGAAAACCATGACTGAGACTGAATGTGCACCTGGGGGCCTCCGCCTCGATGAACCAGGTGCAACTACAAATCGATGCAAGACCCATAACAGTACAGAGACCAGAAGGACATCAAGGTCAGTGGCGCCCCCTAGCTGTATACCCCGGCATGTCCGCCATCATGTGATCCTGCTCAGGGGCTCATGCTTTTTCCCTGTTGTTCAGTTTCGGACCCCCTGCAGTAGGCTCCAGCGTGACTCTGTGGCCCCCCCAGGTCAGCAGGTGGGAGGTGGTGGTGGGGGTCACATATATGATGGGGGGGGGAGGGGGGCTCCAGTTTTTCCGGGGCATTCTTGCCTCAAAATCCCAGCCTCTTAGTCGGCGCCACAGTGTTGTTGCAGGCTCATAGGGGTCGAGTGACACTTGACACAGAGCATGCGGCTCAGCCAACTGTGACAATGGGAGGGGGGACAGGTGTGATCCACGGGTCTCCCATTGTGGGGACCCGCATTACTAGCTCCTTGCATAAATCTACCATATATAGAGCCTCTTAACCACAGTGACACCCGCAGGCCTGCATTGTAAGGAAATGCTCACAAAGAACCATCACAACCAGCCAATGGTCAATCAAGGGTCGCAGCTGCCAGTCAGAACTGAATCCAAATTCATGCCATCACGCCAAAGGTGAAACAAGGTCCTGACGATCTATTGTGCGTAGTCATGACGACAGACGCATCCCGACCAGGGCCCAGAGTAATATGCAGAAATCGAACAGAAACAGTCCATTCTAAATCTCGAACATAACAACCACTCACACCCCTGGTTACTACAAAAATGTACAAAAAGTTTTCCACACTGAATGGTACAAACCAGTATCCCAAAATGGATATGCCTCCGTAGCCATTGCAGACACGTACGTGGACATAGAAAAAGCACTACCACGTGGTACCGGTATACAATCAGTCCTCATCCCTGCATGGATTTGGTGCCAACACACTCATGTTTAGTCACATGGGGTGACCACGGACTTGCAGCTCTCTCTCTCTCTCTCTCTCTCTCTCTCTCTCACACACACACACACACACACACACATCAAGTCAAGTCAAGTCAAGTTTATTTATAAAGCACTTTAAAAACATCAGGGTTGAGGGTCTCCAAAAAACATCAGCCTTAATCACAAACACTCATAAACTGCCCAGGGATGAAAGGTTAACTGGGTCGGAACCGCAAACACACAGAACCGGACTCACCAGTGTGTCTCCACAGCTCCCTCAGCTTCTGCCGGCCCGAGCGGCGCGCCAGTTTGGGGACACGGGCAAGCAGGTCAGCCAGAATCCGCAAAGCACGGCCCCAGTTCCTCCCTCCCGGCCCCATGGGACGCGTGTCACCCTCACACCGCAGCCTGGAAACCCACCCAGAGAAGGTGGAATCGCTCAGTCCCATCTGCTCCCAAAGACATCCTCTCTCGTCTGGAGCACTCCGTCCAGGACCAGCTGGTTTTTAGGAAAAGGGCCCCTATCTCTAATCCCCGCCTACTTCCCAGCTGTCACCCCACTGTGTGTGCGGGGTTACAGTTGTCTGCCCCTGCTCATTGTCTCCAGGTCATTCACCCATCACACCACGGTGCGGCTTTTCCAAGCCCCCATCACTCTGACTGCGCCATCAAGCAGCTCGACGTTAAAGTTTCAGAAGGATGTGCGGCAGGTGTCAAAGGTCAGGAGAATGCCTAAAATATGCCCCCTTTATTTTTTATACTGGGCTGCTTGTGAATTTAACTAAGTCAAAATGCCTGTTACAGGTGTGTGACAGAGTGAGAGATTCACTGTGCCCTGCTAACAGATCCTCTCCGACTGACAGGTTATCTGTCACATGATGCAAGATCCGGCTGAACAAGTGGTAGTTGATCCGTACCCAATACTAGCATCTATACCTAACTAAACCCAACTAGGTTACCACAGTCATCACGCATTTAAGTCTCAAACACACTCCTCTTCAAAGCACTTTCGGTCATCTAATTCCAACCTTTAATATCAGGAGTCTGTACCCTCCCCTCTACTATAAGGTATACTTTTTAATACAATCAACTTTGTGTTAAACTACCTGCATGGTGGGTGATCGTATCTAAATGTGTTTATACCAGGCTTACCAGTAATACTAGTCGCTCATTATGTATCCTCTGTGTTGCACGGCACTATTATGAAGTAAAAAAATAATCACTTGTATAAAAAAAATCCTGCACCTGTGCTGAGCTTACTGATTGCGTGCATATCTAATTTGTTTTTATTTTTCATTGTATGGTATTGTTAATTTCATGTACTGCTGTAGTATAAATAGATATGTGAATATAAACCAGAAGTAGGAAAAACAGGAAGGACATTTTTTGTAAAAGGAAGTAAATGCACTGCAAAATGATGATAGCAGAGATCTCTATGGAAAATGATATGGCATTTTTTCCTCGTTGACCTCCTGCATACCAAGAATTTCTGTAGCCAGGGTGACCAAACTCCCATCAGATTTCTGTATGATGGACGGATATTTTTAGCATCTAGAAGGTGTTTTGTAAGAGTGCACACACACGTACACAGTGAGTAACAGGCAATAAATCAAGGGAGTCTTTCCCTACGGTATGTTAGAGAAAAAAAAGAACATCTTAAAGGTGTCATGCTTCTTGTTTAAATCGAAACCGACGTCATCTTTTTTTCCCAGCATGCCATTTCACGACAGTGAGTTGCTGTCAACCTAGTGGCAGCAGGTAGGCACTGGATGGCAAGAGGCATGCGGAAAATACATGGACTGGTTGTGACAATCCAGAGCATCTGGATAAAGATAAAATAGACTAAAAATGAAGGATAGCACACACAGGGTCTATTCAAAGGCGATGATTAGTTATCAGAAAATAACAGAATATATTTAGTGCCATATATTATAAGTATGTAAAAGTCATTGTTTTACTGGGGCAGCAAACTGCAAACGATCTCTCTACCAATCCAACAGTCATTTCACAAAAAAGCAGATCATATCACTTCTGTCCAGCCGCTTGAATTTGACTGTAAAAAGTCAGATGAAAACATTCATGAAAAACTTCCAGGTATTAATACTCGAATAACTTAAATATAGCTGTCATGTCATTTGTATGGTGCTTTTATGTTTACAAACACTAATTGGTCATATGGTTGGGCAAAAATCCCCAAGGCAGTACAGGATATATATCAATGGCATTTTTTTTATTCCACATCAGTATTTTTTTCCCAAAGAAAGACTTATTTACATATGGCGCGGAACACAATGCCTGCATTCATTCAGGTGAAAAAGAGAACTGTAGTCTGACAAAAACACAGAATGCTAGAAGGGCATGAACAGAAATTCTAAAAAATACTACAACTAATTGAGACCTACAGCTAAATTCAGTTCATCAACAAACCGGTCCGTCAGGGTGCCTTCTAAAATGACGTGTGTTTGGGTGTAGCTCACGGCTGTGACACACCGTGATGATGACAGCAGTGGGGTTTACCGCCATGTAAACCACGCGTCTGCATGGCCCCCCGCCCCCCCAGGTTTGCGAGTGAGTTTTTGATCATCGTCATCATCAACAACTTCATTACTATAGTGCTTGGTATCAACATCTCGGAAACCATTCAGCCTCGAATCACTTCCCACGTTGCAATAAGCCGGTAACACGATCCAGAGATGACTTCTGACTGTCCACATAAAGTCTTTTAAAATAATTTCTGGGTACAAAGTTCCCTCAGACCAAAGGATGTATTCCTTGCTTTGCCTGGACTGGTCAGCAGACCACTGCAGATCACACAAGCTCATTCACTGCGCTAGTGAGACCACAAGCACCTCACCTTAACTGTACGTCTTTGGACCATGTCAGGAAATCAATGGAAGAACATATCCTACCAGCCAAGGTCAAAACCATGCATATTCACACAGGAGGGCCCAACCAACTTTTGTGTGTTTACAGTTTAGCCACTCGATCGCACAACGAGCTACACATAAGGTTAACCTCAGGTTAATAATTGAAGTTGTTGGTAAATAATATACTAAATAAAGATATCCTTCTAACGTCAAAAATCATCATATAAGACAGACATAAACATAATTATATATTAAAAAATTTATATAAACGAATATAAGCACAATCCACAAATTCCAGAACAGTCAACAGGTTTTACTTTTCTATGGGTCACTCACCTACACACGTAAGACGATCCTGAATGATAATGTCGCAACAGACATCGCACCAGGCACCACATTCATCTGCGCAGAAAGTGTGTCCTTCTCCCTTTTCTTCTTTCACCCGTGGGTCTTTTTTGGAAGATTCAAATATCGTCCTGACATCTGGGGGGCGGTAACCCCTCTTTCCTTTGCGAGGGGCCGCCGCTTCGTTCTCCGCGGGTTTCTGCGGCGCAACGTTTTGCGCAGCCAAGAAGTCTTCCAGGCTGCGGCTCGGTGGAGATGAATGTTTTTTTATTGCTTTTAGCCCCTTAACTTTTGGATGGCGTACCTTGCCGCTTGAAGGAGGATACATGTTCGAGTGGTTTTCCTCCAGCGATTCCCCACTGGCGCTGAGGGCGAGATGATCGGAAGGTATCTTGACGGCGAGTACTTATTGGAAACAGTCGCACCGAACATTACGATGCATCGAAATGCGTTGTCTGTTGACTGTACTTGGAGAAATCACTGACGTCCGCCCAGGTGGAAGGCTTTGGCAGCTTGTAAAGAAAGGGAAGGTGCTGCAGGCGTCACAGAGTGCGATCCCGTCGCTGACATTACTGCACCTCTTGTTGCCTGTAAGCAAGTCTAGCAGGTGCGGAAGATCGGGTTTCAGTTAAGAGCCGAGCAGGTAGCGCCGACCTGTTTTACTTTCTGCAGCCTGCAAACGATCGGAATGCGCCCTATGGTATTCAAATGAGGTACGGGAAGGTAGGGCCTGCATTTAACCATCCGCTCATGATTGCACGATGTGTAACACAAACATCCTGTCCGAAGAAATGAAGAAGTATTAGTCTGGCCAGCAAAAAATTACGTATTTGGGTTGCGCTCTTCCTCAGATCAAGAGCAAATTTATTAGATAATACATTTTCATGTGGGAAATTACTATGGTTGTTGTGTGCAGCCACTAAGTTATCCACTGCCACCATAATTCAACTTATATAGATGTTGGTGCTGAGTTTTATATTCCACCACATCCCACAAAACCAGGGGTGTCCACAGAGCAAGGCTACCCTGACAGATTCCAAGGGCCCCTGAAGACGAAAAAGTACATTTGATAAATATAAGCCTATATCCACTTGATAAATACTACTGTGGGGCCCAAGATGACAATTTGTCAGGGGGCCCAGAATTTCAAGCTATGCCCCTGCATAAAATTTTAACTATAATTATATTAACCATGTTCACAATATGCATTCTGAAACATACTCCACATTATGGGTAACCGTATACTGATTATGGAAGATGGGTGACTGTGTACAATTTGTACATGTCAGTTTTAGCACGTAGGCGAACCAAATGAATTCAGTTGATAACATACCTCGGATAGTTGAATTACAGAAAAAAAAACAGACAAGGTTTCAGGTTTTGAATTATATTTTAGAGAGCGAGAGTAGTTTCATTTCAGTTCTAATTTTAAGTAGAAAATACTATGACAAATAGTTTATCACCAGCACTTAAAAATGGAAAAAAGAATCCAAATCTGGGGTTGGAGCACAAGTCCAGAGCCCTGGGAGAGTGATGACGATGATTGAAAGAGCACCGTTAATGGCTAATGGCTGATTACAGTAAGCAAACATAACTTTAAGTTTCAGTTTTCAGCATACACACCCACAAGTACACACAGTCACACCGTAATGTAAATTCATACATTGAAACACAGTATTTACAAGAGAATTTTCATTCTTTAAATATTTCACAGAACAGTTATCAAATTTAAATTATAAAAGGTATTTAAATACATCAAAGTGTCACTATTCAGATCAAACCAGTAGACATCGCAGGACACTAAACATCTTTGATAGACTCATTCAAGACTGACAGGATTCTAATGTAAATGATTGTTCACCTCCACAACCAGCAAGCCCATAGTTGAAAAGCTGGTTTGACACGCAACCTAACGGAGAGAGCAGAGGTCTGCGTGAGGTAGAATCTTCTTTCCAGGCCAATGCAGAATGCATTTCTCAATGGCAGCCACTTGCATCCTGGGGTAACAGGGTTTGACCATTTGATGATGGTGTTGTGCATATAGGTGCATTCCCATGGCAGGAGGTGTGGAACCATATTCAAGGTGAAGTGCACTCTTAAAGACAGATGTTATGACACTGACAGCACAGATGTGGTCTGGACCACCGATGAGGCGAGATGCTTTGAGGCAATTCACAGTGATCTCAGGTCACAAGTAAGCAGTTTTCAAAACATCAAATACCACAGCCATAACCCATACGTTCTCTTCAGTCACTGCACTGTCCTACAGCTCATATTGTTAAACCAGTGGAATGTCAGGTATGAGCACTATGTGTCATACAAACCATTGTTTTAGGGCGAAGAGTTTTGCCTGTGACAGAGGACTTATGGTAGGAAATGCAAACATTCAAATGTGCTATGAATGCATGAAAGTACGCCTTTTAAGTGCTTTAGAAGAGATAGAAACTATTCAAAAGCATGTATGTTCCTATTTGTGATGCTCTTGAGGTCCTGGATGTTGTGAATGTTGCTACCACAGCCTTATTCAGTCTATTGTTAATAGCAGGATTTTCTTCCCCTCATTAATATCAGACTGACAATTGGCTGTTGCCCTTTAACTATAGGAAATATGGCATGGATTTACTTAATGAACCAGTAGTCACTCTCTCTAGAAACCTTTGGAAAAAAACTGAAAAATGAGAGTTTTTCCAGTATTGTCAACTCGGAACCCTGAGAAGTCAACTATACAGCAAGCCCATAGGTGGCAACATATGCAGAACTTCGTTCAAAAAAAAGAATTAAAATCCCTAAAAACGGGAAGAAAAAAAAAAAAAAACAATCCTCCTCAGTGAACTTCATCGTCTTCGTTGCTGTCAAAAGCGTTGTCCTAAGAGAAAGGGGGGGGGGGTTTGGGGACAAGTCAGAATCTCATGTACCTTAAATGTATGCATTATGCTCTGAAAATGAAACTTAAAATAATATTTTCAAAAGTGTGACTGTATATTTAAAAATATATACATATTTGTAGTGATTTATGTATTTATGTATATATATATCCCTAGCTGAGCATCACATTTGCTTGACTGAAATGGTAACGGTGTGGAATTTTGTAAAGGGTTTCAAAGAGTGATCCCACCCTCTCCCACACTCACCCAGCCTCCATGCTGCTGGATCCAAGTGGAGTGGTTCTCCTGCAGGTACTTAGCGCCAAAACCAAGCACCCGGTTCATGGGATGGTTGTCCATAGCAGTCAGCCTGCTGGTGACCTCAAACGCGAGGGCAATCTTGGCCTTCTGATTTTTGAGATTGCCATAGAACCCCATGTTCTGGAGGAACGTGTCAGTCACTTTTTTGAAGATGTTGTAGTCAAAACTCTTTTGTATCTCGGCCAAACGCTTGTTATTCTTCACCTGGTCAAAAAAAATAAATATTATTTAATAATGAAATTTATTATAAAATAATATTTCCTGAAATAAGATGGAGAGTAGACAAAAAAAAAATCACTTCCTAGAGAAAGTGTGTTGTGCTGCATCTACTATATGTACTGATGCAAGAAGTAAAATGCAATTGTGTGAGCATGTTGACACCTAGTGGTGGCTTTTCACTGCTAAATCTTACATAATAAGAGCCAGAACATAGGACTGGGAAACTATTTTCAAATGGCACAAGTCATAACAGAAGATGACTTGTGCCGTTTGCTGTACACCCTTTTTGCATCAATAGCTGGTTTTGATGCAAATGGGTCAATCAAGACATAGTAAACAGTTGACAGGATTACTTAGATTTTACTAGGCTGCCACTAATATGAATTGACATGCAGAAAACTCAAGTCTATAGTTGTGATAAAAGAAGAGAACTTCCTTTACTTTCCTTCCATGTTCACAAACTGTATTAATAAATAACACAGCATACAAATAAGCAACTTCTATCCATCCATTTTCTGATCCTGTTCAGCGTCATGGGGCTGGGAACAGCCCAGGAGGGGGCGCCAACCCATCACAAGGCACACACACAAACACACAGCCATGGGCAAGTTGGTAACGCCAATCAGCTTGAGCATGTTTTTGGACTGGGGGGAGGGGGGCGGAGTACCCAGAGGAAAGCTCACAAATGGGGAGAACAATGCAAACTCCACACACATGGAATCCTGGTGAACTCGAACCCAGGTCCCAGATGTGTGAGGCGACAGCGCTAACCACTGCACCACCATGCCGCCCATTACTGCAACTTTTAAATTATTAAAAAGAGCCAAATCTTCTTCATGCAGGGCCAGTACTGCTAAATTCCTATCTCCAAACATTTTAATGGGGAGTAGGGAAGCAAACTCACTTCCTTATCGAGTTTGTCACCGGACTCTTTCAATAGTTCCACAATTTCCTGGATGACATCGTCTGGATAGGGTAGAGTTGGGTTGCGGTCATCACCTAAATGGGTGTACAAACTGACATTCAGCATCTCTACACTGCATTAGGAAAAATAAATTCTAAAACCATACAGTGAAAGAAGCGTCCCTTAATCCAGTCCTACCTTCAGGGCCATCCGACTCAATGTCCGACTCAACGTTCTCTATACAGGCAACGGGCACAGAATCCGCAATCTTCATCAGTCGATCAGCGACTTCCACAGCTCCATCGTCACCTAATATAACAGAGTAGGTGAGTCACACTGAAATAGCCATTTCTTCCTACCTCTGTCTGCTAAACTGCAGCCACGAGTTACCATTTAGGCATCTAAATTCAATGACTCTTCCGTCCTTCTTGGGCCTTGAGTCCAACTCCTCTGTTTGTGGGTGTACACAGCTGAAGAACTTCATTATCTTACACTTTTTCACCATCTTGGAGGAAGGCTTTTGAATATCATGGTCTGCACTCTCCAGTTTGGTGCCCTCTGGTCTCCTCCTTTTCATATAGGCCTTGAGAACCTTGTATTCCATGGTATGTTCAAGTCCCTCTTCAGCATCCATTAGCCCGGCACAAAAAACCAAATGAAACTGCAAACACTGGGACAGAATAAGGGGAAATTTCTTTTAGTTCGATTTGCAGAGCATAAACTGGCCAAGAATTACAAAAAAAAGTACTAAAACATATTGAGCCAAAAGCTTAAATCTGCATTATAGCTAAATGCCCACTAAAATTCAAGAGAAAACAATACGTGATATCCTTTTCATACCAGACTATTTTAATGGGTACATGTCTTCCAATTATGCAATAAGCACTATGTTCAACTTGCAGCGTTTTAGATCAGCTGAAGTATGGCAACAAATCATTTTAAGTCATTGTCTAAGATGTTTCACACAAAGGCCTACATAGTTGTCCACGGTTTTGAAAAGCACATATCGGAGTAAAACAATGACAAATAAATAAAAATTAAAAACAGAGGCCCTACACACAGAGCTTCATCTTCACATTGTGAGAAAGTACGGACTTTACTTGAATCTTGTTCTGATGGCTAATAAAATACAAGTGACTTTGAAGAATAAGTCTGTTGGGCGAAGCTTGGAAGATTTTGGTAGATTATAATTAGAATTTAACCACAACCGTCTGAAATCAAGAGTTATTCGTTTTAATTTTATGCATGCAAAACTTAAGCTGGTGTTGTCCCAGCACTTTTAGACGGTTCACGCTTTATATGGGCATATACAATGTTTTGGAATAAAAAAATGACAGTTTTTACAGGATTAGTGCAAGTTAAATCTAACACAACCAGAAAAATGGCATCGGAGCTTCTGCTTAGCATAACCAAGTTTCAGATTTTAGGCTGTCGATTTAGTCACTTCCCTGAAGTAAACATTTGTTTCCTTATGATTATATAACAAAATGCAAACCAAGTAATGATACTAATGTCGCGATATCACAAATGCGCAAAATACAAAAGCAATGATACTACAGTCACCATAGATTGAACGTGAAAGGAAATAATAGGGATCGTACAGATCGAGCTAAAAATCAGAAAGGATGGAACATGTTAAGACATGCCCCATATGCAACTCGTAGTGCTACACACAATATTAAAATAAAAACGCACGCACGCGCGCACACACACACAACAAATCAATTCTTAGGCCTACTGCATGCAAATCGTAGACATTAACCGATTTGTCCATTAAACCAAATATTAAGTACGGTCATACAGGAAGAGAGCCTCATTCGGCAGTTTATTCCTCATAAATCGGCTCCTAAAAATGATTGCGCTCTTCTTAATATAAAACTACCGGATGCGATTGGTTGTCAATAATCAGTACCGGTCGTCGTCGACTTACGCGACTTAATATTAATGGATTCGGAGACCTTAGCGACACCGGCAGATACGCAGACAGCGCGTGCCGCGCGGGAGTTTCCGTCCCAGCTGCCGATACAGCGCTAGTATCCCGGGAGAAAATGATGATACAAAAGGTTAAAAAACACCAAACAATACGACTTAAATATTATAGAATTTTATTATACAGTATACAATACATATCATTTTACATATAAAATAAAAGGTCGACATGACTGGTCATTCGCAACCGATCGCGGTTCAAGTCGACGACGACCTGTACGATTTGCGTACGTTTTCGCCAAGACGAAAACCGTGAAATAAAGCCCTTAAACGCAGATATATCAGGTCAAAGTTTCGATGCGGGACATTACTACACCGTTTTAAAAAAATTATAGAATACCTGTCAAAAGAACGACCGGTATGGTGTTTTTAGAAGAGACAGGACTGACAGTCTTGGCATAAAGGTTACCTACCTGTTAAAAGACCACGTCGATTGAAGAGGAATTTAAAATTAATAGATAATCGCGTGGATACATTCGAGGTACTAGTGTTACCGCAGTTACAGCCAGGGGGGCGTTTGGAGCTCCGTCCTGATCTCTATTCCAGCGACACTTTAACGCTGAGCCTTACTGAGCCCGACACTTTCCAGGAACCACTAGTGCTACTCTGCGCCTAGGTGCTACAGAGTTCAGCCGGTCAGCTGACAAATGACGAACGCATCCCGTAACACTATTTTCAGTTTCGTATTTCTACGAAACTTGCCGATTCATTAATAGTGATATTATGTTGTCAGTGCGTAACATGAGAAAAACACAGGTGCCAGTGCTCCTTTTATTACTCTATACTTAATTATGAGAGGTACCGGTACGCAAGAAGTGTTCCCATTACACTGAAGAAAAAAGACAGTTGCCAGTAATGCATACCGATGAGTACTTAGCTTATAGTACCTATTAAGAGCCTTTCCGATATCGCGACTTAAACCACAGCTTTAATCCAGAAATCTGAAGGATTAACTGCAATCTGAAAGTCAATATCTGTTACAAACAAGTTAAGAACTTACGGTAAACAGGTCGACCTGATCAGCAGAGACAAGAGCGCAGATAGAAAGTCCAGCTCATTTAACGCCCTTAAAAACGTTCAAAAACGTCACAACACTACGTCATTGGGGGGGCGTGGTCGTGTCAAACAGTTTTATGTTTATGTTTTGCCGCGATCTAAAATTCTTGAAACTGAAACTACCCTGACTGAAATTCAGTTTCTGGCAGACAGTCACTTTTTGGGTACAACAGCGGACGATAGTAACCCTAACCATTAATAATGTACAAAGGATAGAATTTATTTATGGACTACACTGTCAGAAAAAGGTACTAGTTTGTAAGTTTGCTTGTCACTGGGGCTATACCCTTAAGGGTCTGACAGTTGTACCCTAGCTGTAGGTAAATGTACTTTGTAAGATTCAGAAATGGACTCAAGGTACAAACAACATCTTCGTAGTCTTACTTCTATATCTTAAAAGGTACATTTATCCGTGGCAGGTACAGCCCCAGTGACAGCATACGTAGAAATTGGTACCCTTTTTCATGTTCTATAAAGTGTGATTTAAGCATTAAACTATATGGGGGACAATGTACATCAAGTAACATCCACATTATGTGTTTTTATAAATATTTATTAATAATTGCACTGTGTCCAATCACCGCCAGTAACTGCAAGACAGCTAGGCTATTGAAAGTGAACTGCACACACAAACACTGAAATATTAAAATTCGCCCTCAAAGAAATCTGGCAAACCAAGTGGTGTTTTTTTTTCTTTTTCGAATATGAAGATATATCGATTTGTGATACATAGGTGGGGTTTGAGTTTGTATACGGGTTTGTAAAAAATCTGCTTTCCCGGAATCAGCATCGTTCTTCCTCAGAATTAGGACTATTCCTCAGAATTAACGCTGTCCGCAGTGTGCCCCACTGTGCAACAGCCTGTCGTTTTTAAGTCAAAGAACTGGTAGCAGTGCTTGCCAGAACGTTACCGTAATAATTACAGTATATAACTTTATCTACTATTACAGTAAAATGATATTAATACCGTTGATTTTACAGTTAATGTTGAGTTTGATTCCAGATTTTACCGAATGCATGTACGTTTCCTATTTCACATTGCTGAACACAAATATGTATTTGAAATTTTTGAATCAGGTAGGGTTTTAAAGAAAACTGCAATTATGCAGATAACATTATAACGTCTTCAGTGGCATAGGCCTGATCAGCAGACAAGAGCGTAGATAGAAAGTCCAGCTCATTTAACGCCCTTAAAAACGTTCAAAAACGTCACAACACTACGTCATTGGGGGGCGTGGTCGTGTCAAACAGTTTTATGATATTACAACGTAAGCAACACAAGAGAAGATTAGAATTGTTTTGATGCAGATTTTCGTTTGTAGTCACTGTCAATGTAGTTATTTTTCAATACTTAGTCCTAAAATAAAAACAGATGCTTGCAAGACCAAAATATAAAAAACTATATACATGCAAAAAGAACTACTATATGTACAAGACACCAGGGTAAAGTTGGGATTATTGTGTGCGGCTCACTAGCTGGTAACGATAGTGGTTGAAACTAATATTACTAATAACTGACCAACACAAATTTCTTGTATTCCAAACATGCTTTGCAAACAACCAATTTCTGAGGAAGATTCTGATGTAAAATCACTTTTAAAAGGTTTTGACCATTTGTGTAATTATTAAAGGCACAGTTAAAATGCTCTAATAAGGACAACCCTTATGGGTTACTTGGCACTCATTAAAGTTTTGTTACATTAAAGTAACAAAAAAAGATTAAGACTTTTTCTGCAACAGGTAAAAGATGTTTCAACCATTGAGTTCTGTTTTGACTTGTATTTTTTTGCATTTGTGTTTTTTTGGGGAAAGATTAAGAAAACCCTATGTCCAACCACATTTATCGAAGATAAGAACACTCTTAAACTTAAGAAATCTAATCCTGTAAATATAACCCAGAATATTGTAAAACAATTAAAATCAGGCAGAAAGAGCCATTCAAGAGATATTGAGTGTAATCACTTAAATTTGGCAATGGGTGAACTGCATTGTACTGGTTATACTGGTCCTATAGAGGTGTTTAAAGTGGTAAAAATGAGTTAGATGTTTACTAATACTGTAAATATATCTAACACGAGGCCTATATAGTTAAACTGAAGCAGAAAATGTCTGTCAGTAAAAAGATATTGACTGTAATCACTTTTTGGCAAAAAGAAAACTGCATTGTATTGGTTATACTGGTCCTACAGAAGTGTTTAAAGTGGTAAAAATGGGTTCGATGTTTACTAATCCTGTAAATATAACCCAGAAGAGTGTAAAAAAAAAATAAAGTCAGGCAGAAAGAGCCATTCAGTAAAAAGGTTTTGACTGTAATCACTTTTTGGCAATGGGTGAACTGCATTGTACTGGTTATACTGGTCCTATAGAGGTGTTTAAATTGGTAAAAAGGACTGGATAGTTGATACTGCAGCACAGAGCAGGAAAAATCCACTGACTCTTTAATATGACTGCAAGATGAAGAATTGTCTTTATTTAATAAGTAATCCGCATCGGTAATTGTGTAGTGAAACTCATTTAGACGTAGGGACATTTATAAACATAAACTTCCATGGTTTCATGACATAAGGTTACAGTTTTACAACGCCATTACGACCGAGGACTGCTTTAAAGCGTTTTACATGACAATGCCTTCCTTTGACTCTTATTACAATTATTTATTTAAAAATTCACCAAACCCTTAAATCTGACAAAGACATACCGTCGCTATTAGCTCTGGGATACATGTACTGTACACGATTTGATATCGAAATTACCCGCCTTAGTCGCACAGAAACTGCGATGCGTCCTGAACAGGCTATGCGCGCTCCCGCGGATCGTAATCAGTTTCTGATTACGAAATCAGTCACTTTTTGGGCACAACAGCGGACGATAATAACCCTAACCATTGTTAATGACCTGCGTGAAGTTGGCTCCCCTTATGTTTCAGATTTCAACCAAGCGGGCTAGGATAGATCTTTAATACCCACAGAGGTTTTCTTACAATAGTTAATGCACAGGTATAGACCTCACAAATATTAACGCCCCCGCCCCCCAATTTCTAAAATGGCATTGCTCACGTGAAAATACAGCGCCCCTTATTAAATAGCCTAGCAGCATAAAATGAATACAAAGTGCTACATACGAAACGTATATGGCTGTTAGCCGTTGAGAACCTTGAATTTATTCAGCACGATCTTGAAATGCTGTACCTGGCTGGCGGGGCTGACTAAGTATGTACAGCTTTGTCGCGGAGTCATCAAACGCTAGACCTTCCGTTAACATGAGAAACACGAGCTTGAGCACTATACGGCGATCACGTAAAGGCATAAACTAAGAGGTATAACTTAGAAAAATAACAGTACAGACAACTTTTAAACGGCACAAACTATTGAGACCAATTCGGAGGCAAATGGGGGCTAACTTAACGGCGGATTCACGTGATCATATAAATAAGCAATATATCAGCACTGAAGCAACACAAAGGACAGTTTTAATGGCACAAACGATTGCGATCGGTTTGGTCGAAATCAGACGCAAATGGGAGGGGGACAACCTTACAAACATTAATATCTCAGAAACTAAAGCAGCACAAAGAATAGTTTTAACGGCACAAACGCGGGACATACGATTGAGAACAGTTTGGTTGAAATCTGAAACATATGGGGGGCCAACTTCACGCAGGTCAGAAATCTACATTTTAAAAACACGTTTGAAAAATAAAACACCTGGGTATGTTGCATTTTAAAACATTTATATACTTACTTTTGAAAATAATAAAAAAAAAACTGTTCATGTTAAATTAACCATAACTCATTTGAAAAAAGCACTATGTACAACACCTTTGAAAAGCAAAACACCAGCACATGTTTGTGTCATATCCGTTTTTAAAAGCCCACACAGACGCTTAGTGAAACTCTGGGTCAACATATCCGCGCTTTGCCGATACACTGAAATCGTCTGCACTTAAACTGTGTGGTGCCTGCATAGACATAACATGACAGTATCAGCTCGCATTTAGGGAAATAACCCTCTAAGCGATCGCGCATAAGAATAGAGTCATAACATTTCTATAGTTGGAGGGCGGCACCGCGGTTCGATCCCCGGGTCGGGCGTAGGAGTTCGCTTCCCTCATAAATATGAAGTAAGAATACAGTTAAAGAATACTTAAATGCAGTTAATTTCTGACTCTCCCAAAATGTATAAATACGTCATATAGCATGTGGAGGTCAGCGTCGAGACAAAATGCGTTTAGCTTCTACCATACCGTCCACCAATCAATCACCGTGACCGCTTAATCCCAACTGGGGTCGCTGGGGGGACCGGGGATCCAACCCGGGGAATTACGGTGTCAATTTAGATTCGCCAATTAAACTAAGTTTCGGAAACACGGAAGGGGGGGGGCGAACGCTGGACTTAATTGTTGCGCTAACCAACGTGCCGCCCTTTGTAGGGTGAATTCAGGTATTAGGGGACATCAGGTAATGTGGGACAGTTAAGCTATGACAAGTTTATTTCCCGGCTAAAGTAGAACCAATTAGAATAGTTCTTATTGGGAGCTGGTATAGATAGCACATGATCCGAAAAACACGATTTTATTGGTCTGAGGTCACAGTTGTGGACAAGGCAAGCATTTTGGGGG